GCATGCTGGGTTCAGGGCTTAATGCACACTGACTTAATGATACGTTAACAACATGACTGAGATGTGCATGTTTCTGACACTTTCCCTTAGTCCTGAGAAGAGGACTGCCTCGTTTGAGAGCATGATGTGTAAGTTCAGAAATTCAGCAGGGATAATGCACAGTATTATAAATTGGGGAAAAAATTTTTGAAAAAGAGATACAAGAATATGTGTAACTGAATCACTCGGCTCTACACCTGAAACTGACACAATACTGTTAATTAACTGTACTCCAATGTAACAAAATAAAAATTAAAAGAAATTCAGTTTTCATTTTCTGATTCCATTTCTCTCCCCACCCCCACCCTTCTGTCCTGATTAGCTTCCATCCTCCTCATCTTTGGAAGTTGCCACAGAAACAAACCAGAAGAACCCAGAAGAGGAAGTCACAGAAACTGTAGGTGAGGAGTCGGAATCCATCCTCGAGAAGGAAAAAGAGGAGCCCCAGCACTGTGGCATCGATTCAGAAATGCAGCAGATTCTAGCGCGGGTCCGGCAGAACTTTGGCAAGATCAACGTTGCGCCTCAGTTTTCTGGGGATGACCTGGTTCCTCTGGAGATGTCCGATATCGATGACGAGCTGGAGAGCCTTTCTGCAGAGAGGGAGGAGGAGGAGGAACAGGAGCACCCAGGAGACTATGAGGACGAGTCTTACGCAGAGTCCCAGGAGGAACACACGGGACGCACCACTAAGGCCGTTATTCAAGCCCTGGATGAAAAGATCGCCAAGTACCAGAGGTTTTTAAACAAAGCCAAAGCTAAGAAGTTTTCAGCAATCAGGTAGCGTCCTCTTGATCTCACAGATTGCTGTGTGCTTATTCATTTTCCCAGAAACTTGCCATAAGGAGTTTTTTATAGGGTAGGGGAAGGTGTTGCTATACATTTTAAAAATGTACAGCTGCCTGAATCTTGAGAAGCTTAGTGGTTGAGTCTTTTACAAATGTCCAGGGGCTGCAAAAATGGTGTTGCTTCTACCAGTGGCGTTAACCACATGAAGAAGAGCAGGTTTCTTTCATCTGGGAGCTTGTCACCATCCTCACGTTTGCGTGAGCTGTGGGCAGTGGAGGGAAATGTCAAACAGTTTCATTACTGGACTCTTCCTTTTCAGGATATCCAAGGGACTGAGTGAAATGGTTTTTGCAAGATCTGAAGGACCAAAAAAAAGAAAAGCTGAAGAAGATGTAGACAATACAGGTACAGTTAAATTACTGAAATCACGTAGATACGATATGCATCTTCAGAACTTTGGGAAATTTAAGTTTTATCTCAGGAATTTTCTCTTGTACTGTCATCCTGATATTTATCATATCTGGCAAATTACCTTGGTTCCACTTATTATTTGTCACACAGATTGTCTTTATCTTTTTTTTTTAATATCTATTTATTTATGTATGGCTGCTCTGGGTCTCTGTTGCTACTCTTAGGCTCTCTCTAGTGTGGTGCGCGGTGGCTGCTCTTGGTTGCAATGCGCAGGTTCTCATTTCGGTGGTTCTCTTATTGCAGAGCTCCAGCTCAGTAGTTGTGGTGGCTTAATGGCCCCATGGCCTGTGGGATCCTCCCAGATCAGGCATTGAACCCTTCAACCCAGTCGTGTCCAACTCTGCGACCCCATGGACTATATTGTCCATGGAATTCTCCAGGACAAAATACTGGAGAGGGTAGCCTTTCCCTTCTCCAGGGGATCTTCCCAACCCAGGGATCGAACTCAGGTCTCCCGTGTTTCAGGCAGATTCTTTACCAGGTGAACCACAAGGGAAGCCCAAGAACACTGGAGTGGGCAGCCTGTCCCTCCTCCAGCGGATCTTCCTGACCCAGGAATCCAGCCGGGTCTTCTGCACTGCAGGCGGGTTCTTTACCATCTGAGCTCTCAGGGGAGTCCTTATCGTTTTTTTATTCTGCACATTTCTTGGGGTTAAATTGGTAATTCAAGAAACTTCCTCTAAAAAGAATACATTGTTAAACTTGGAATCTAAGGGTGGATCCAAAGACAAATTTTTTCCGGCGGGCAGATGGTTCATATATTTATTCTTTATGCAGTCATTCTAGTAACTTCTACATCAAGTATGTTTTCAAGATAAACTGGAGGCCTGGGAGCACACCCCCACCCCTACCCCCAATCTGGCAGCCTCCTGGCGTCTTGGTTTTATCTGTGTCTCACACCACACTGTATTCACACCGGCCTTCTGCCTTCCACCTCCAGTATATCAAGCTCTTTCCCACCTTAGGATTCACAGGCACATTTTAAATAAAAAATTCCCATTTCTTTTCTGTGTGTGTGCGTGTTTCGTTTCCAGCACCGACCAAAAAGGGAAAGAAGAGGAACGCGAAGAGGGAAGAGGAGCAGCCAGACAAAACTCGCAGGACGCTTACATCTAAGGAGGTACGTGTTTTGGTCCTCAGCATCACCCAGTTTTAGAGTAGAGAGGGGAAGTACATTTCTTACAACTCACACTTTATGAAATTAATGCTCTAGAGTTTAAGTCAAGGAACCCCAGTCCTAAGTGACCTGGTTGAGGTCAGTGAAATAGGATTAAGAGTTGACCTTGACTGCATGAAGGTCAGCTGAGTGTATGTCTTGTTTCAAGAATACCAGTTGCTGCCCTCAAACTTGCAGACTACCGTTGGGAAGCGTCTGCTGGGTTTATGTGGCCTCAGGGAAGTGACATGATGAGCCGAGTTGTGCAGGCAGATTGCTGCCATCTGTGAAGCTCAGCTCTGTAACCAGGCTCTTGAGAGCTGGAGGGGTCCCCTTTGGGAGGTGGAGAACTTGTTATGAGTGTCCAGCCTTAGACCAGAGGACCACTTGGCAGGAGTGCAGAGGAAAAGATGCAGGCATCGGCCGAGGGTTGGGCCACGTGACAGCCTGTCACTTGGAGCTGCAGTGGAAGTGCAGGCTTGAGTCCGTGAGATGAACCCTCGCTCATCAGTGCTGCCGCCAGTAGTTGTGGGAGCAGTCTGGGAACGGAGCACAGAGAAACAGGGGCCTCTCTATGACTTTCAGCGTTTGTTTGATTGGTTTTTTGCCTCTTGGTGTGTGTGCCGTTTTTGCAGAGGAGGCGAGAAGCACGGCAGCAGAGATCCAAGAAAGTCGGCGTCCGCTACTATGAGACACACAACGTGAAAAACAGGAACCGGAACAGAAAGACCACCGACTCAGAAGGGCAGAAACACAGGCACAAGAAAGCCAGACAGAAGCAGTAACGTGTTAAGTGTTGTTTATTAAATTATACAAAAACATGCAACTAGAAACTGTTCATTGTCTTCATGCCCAGTTGGCATTTCAAAGGCCAGGATGCCTCTGTTCTGAGATTGGACAGTTGAAACCACGCACCAGTACTAGTGAAAGAGAACTCACCCCCAAGGATCTCAGTGATGGAGTCCACTCGAACTCCTGACAAATGAGTTGGTCCTCTGAGTTCCTAAGAGTATAACCCTGGCATGAAGGTGTCTGACAGAAACAGGGCCAAGGTCTAGAAGATACGGAGTGTGATGTTTCTTCTGTAATAGCATTGAGCGATTTAGTTTGGAATAGAACTGTTTTATTTTTGTTTTAATTTTGTAGATGTTGTGTACAGAGCCTAGGCTTTAAAACATGAAGGCCACAGCAGCTTGCAGCGTTCCTCGGTGGGTCTGTTAGGAGAACGTTAGGACATGACTGCTGTGCAGTCAGGGAGCTGTGGATCGAGCACATCTCCATGACCACAGCTCTCTGCCATGAAGATGGCAGGGCACAGACAGGCTGTTTCAGTGGAATCTGGGGACTCGTTTCTCAGGACACCTGGGTGAGGGTAAAAGCTGTGACGAGATTTGAGATGAAAGTGTACAGGGCTTGTTGGACTCAGTGGGACAGTTCTTCTTGTTGGCCTGTAGTTCTCTGAGGGGGCCTGGAAGCCCTTGCCAGACAGGCGTCAGGTCCGAGCACCTCTTCATGGCAGTACTGAGCACCTAACGCCTTCCACCAAGGGGAGATGTTAGTGCCTTCTTAGTTACGCTACTTGGGAAGTTTGAATGATGGAACTTAGTCATTTTGCTTGTCTGCCCTGAATCAGATTTATGTCTCTAATTTAGTCTTCTGGGTCTCTGAAACCAGAAGAGTTCTGAGCCTCAGAACTTTGAGTCTAGCTTATAAGGAAGAGTAAAATGCAGTTGTCTCCTCGCCATGGCCTGGTCACTAATAATGAGAACTGCATGTGAGGTCTGAGCTAGTCAGAGGGTTGTAGGGTTGGGGTTTGATTTTCTGCAGAGTAAGGTGAAAAGATCCAGTCAGTGGGGGAGGAGCCAAGGTCCAGGCAGCTCACAGGGGACACCTCAACCTGTATTTCTTTCCAGCAGACACTCACTTTTTGAAACTCATGGGTTTGACTCCCTGCCATTGCCTCTTACCGAGCAGTAGGTAGTGGCAGGGAGGAAAGGGCCCAGTGACTTGGTGAGCAGGGATAAGATGAAACAGTATCAACTGAAAACTCCAAACTGAGGTGTTAGAACTTCATTGGAGTATGGAGGATGAAAAGACATCAAATAAAGACAAGACTGAGTCCAGAGGAACCCAGGTCAAGGTTAAGGGACAAGGTGAGCTGTGGACCAGATACAGGGTAGAGAAGCAGCTTCCTATGACCGGAAATAAGTGATAGGGTGGAGAGATGACGAGAAAGCAGCTGCTCCACCCGAGACAGGTACAGCCAAGCGGGGTGAGTTCTAAGTCTCGCTGTCAGAGCCGGCAAGTCCCAAGGTTGGCCACGTGTGGAGACTGCCTGGGCTGCACTGCCTTCCGTTGTCCAGCCTGGAGCCTGGCTATCAGACCTGAGGTGTTGCACACCACTTGGGGACAGTGGTATGACTTCTGACAGATATGTAGGTGGTGCTAAGGGCGGGAGTATGGCTTCTTCACTCAGGAAACGCTTTTTATTACAAAGGGCTTGTGATGGGGTTGTTGGTGCTTGCTGAGACCCACATGGAAATTATCACTTCTTTGGTGCAATAATGCCTTCCAGTTGGGCCTGAAAAACAGAAACAAACTCCATTAATATTTGAAACATGCAGCCTAACACAAAAAGCCGAGAGGTGACAAAAGTCTCCTGGAAGAATGATCCAAATGCTGCCACTCCAATTATTTTTCCCCTTCATTCCCAACTCCATGTTTTCTGGATTAGCTGGTTTCTGGCTTGGCATTCAGTCTTGCTGCATTAGGAGAAATCAGAGCTGGCCTGCTTTCCATACAATAGCTGCTCAGTGTATAATATAAGGCATTGAAAAGGAAATTGAATAAAAGTTGTTGAAATAGTGGTTTTTTCATGGCTCACATTTCAGGCCTGAATACTTCTGCTAAGTTAAACATTTGGCTCTCTCGTTTGGGAGCCTGGGAGCTCTGTGCTGGGACAAGAGGTTTGGGAAACAGCAAATTTTCAGCCACTGAGACAACTTGCCACCCAATTAGAGAAAATTGCTACCAGTGAGTAGGGAGCTGTCCATCTTGTATGTGAAGCTTCAGACGCTTGGGAGTTACTTACTCTGCTCCTGTGGCAGCCAGAAAAATAATTCACTATCATAGTGTGTGGACAGACCTTTAAGTAGGTCTATGCTGGGGACTGCAAACAGTGCTTTATTTGGAGTGCAGCTTTGAGCCAATAAAAATAACTCACTTCTAAAGAGTCCTTTGCCCTGGGGATAACAAGGTTGCTTGTAAATGTTAGAAGCCAAGGTATTCTGCTTTGCTCTTGCCGCCAATACCATAGGAGGCACTGGGGAAATTGGGCTTATGATGAAAGAATATGGCAGATAAGAGAGGCAGCCTCAGAGACTGCTAAGTAAACAGATTCACATCTGGCTGCGAAAGTTTGTTTTGTTCAACTTGCCAAGGAGAAAATCTGTCATCCTCCAGTAGCAATTAACACAAGCCCTTCTTTATCTCAAATGCTTGGCCCTCTTGGCTTGTAGCACCCACAAGCCTGCCAATCGCAAGAATGTAAGCTTCTGTGAAACTAGGGAGGAGAGGGAGATACATCCAGGGGCCCCTCCGAGCCAGGGCCATGGGAGACAGACATTATACACTAATAGGCCATTTGTCTAGAGCAGTGGTTCTCAAACTTCAGCAAGGATCAGAATCACCTGGCTTGCTGACCCCCAACCCCAAAGTTTCTGATTGATTGGGCAGCTCTGGACCGGGCCCAACGATTTGTATTTCTAAAAGTTGTGGTGATGAGGATGATGCTGTCTGGAGCCCAACCTCTGAGAACCTCTCGACCAGACAGACAGCCTGGAGTTTCAGAGGCCTGGCCCCCTGCCCAGCCCTTTTCACTAGTCCCCCTCCCTCCCTTCAGCTCAGTCGGATTAAAGTCAGCAAAAGGGCTTTGATGAAAAACACCTACACTTGAGTTCTCTGATCATGTACCAGGAGAAGTTTCATGATTTGAATTGGTTCTTCCCTCTCAAAGGGCCTTCCCTTACCCCCCACCCTTCCAAATGCAGTGCCTCCTCTCTAGGCAACTGCAATAGGAAAGCACACCCACTAAAGCCCACTGGAGAGACCCAGCCCCCTCCGAGGAGGCTCCGAAATGCCAGCTGCCACAGGACAGAAGTTCCACCTTTGACATACCCACCTCTCCCAGACGATAGGCAACTTTTACCCAAGGGGAAACAAAAGTCCACAGGAGAGCCAGGCTGAGGAGTCATGGGGGTTCAGAGGTGAGAACAGAACCCATCTCCAGAACCAGATGGACAGAGAATCTGCGTTCTGATCCCTCACCTCTCCCCAAAAGAGCTTCCTTGACTCCTTGGCAGTATTAAAAGTCAGTGTAGGACAAAATGCTTGGGCTGCTCTGCTTGGCTAGAAAGGGCAGGGGCAGGGGCAGGGGCAGGGGCTGGGGCTGGGGGCACTCCATCTGGGCCGGTGCAACGATTACCTTCAGCTGCTGATTCGTCCGCTTCAGGAACTGTATCTCCTCGTTGTGCTTCTTCTCCTCCACCTGTCTCCTCTCACTCTCCCGCTTCTCAACAGCCTCACATTTTGCCTTCTGCTCGTTCACTTGCCTCTCCAGATCTCGCTTTTCCGTTTCTAACTCTACAATCTGCGGACAGAAGCCCCAGTCATCCTGCGACGTCGCCAGGTGGATGGGGCGGTGTGAGTCCCTGGGTGGAGGGGACCTGGGACACAGCTGCCCGACCCAGGGCATTGCCAGGGTCTGTACTGCCACCCAGTGGGAGGCCAGTGACTGGCAGGGCTTGTCCAAGGGGAGACAGTTGTGTCACCCCAGGACCGGCCGTGACACTGAACCAAAGGCTCCTTGCTGAGGTGACGGGAGAGCACCCTTGGAGGCCAGAGTTGGGTGCTGGCATGACAGGCTGTGGCCCTGAGGTGGACAGAAGAGTCGCAGAGGCTCGGGGGGCTCCTGGTGAACCCACTCACTTTCCTCTCCATGTCTGACTTCCCCTGCTCGGCCTGCAGTGCTTTCCTCATGCCGAACGCCACGCTGCTCTCGTACAGGGTCTGGTAGGCGGCGATGGTCATGCGGATCTCGTCCCGCACCCGCAGCAGCAGCAGCCCCCGCTCCGCACAGTTGATGGTGACCTCGCGGATCAGCTCATCTGCCAAGGTGCACACAGCAAGGTGGGAGGGAGCAGGCGGGAGGGGAAATGCCAACCGTCCTCCTGCAAACCGCCTTCCTGCTGGGAAGGGCAGTACGGTGTGTCCTCCTCACTTGCAGACAGGCAGGTCTCGGGGGCCCTGTCATGACTTCTCTGAACTCGGCATTTGGGAGCACAGGCCATCAGCAGGCCTGGCTTGGCCAGGGCAAACGGAGACAAGAGCTCTGTGTGTCTACAGCCAGGGGGCTCTTCTGGTCCACTCTTAGGCAGAGACTGGGTACTATTCAAAGCAATCTGACTTTTTCGATATAAAGATGGTGGCTGTTTTAAAGCAGTTGGGAAATCCTCTGTGCCCACTTGGCTGGACTGGTTTGGGGCTGGAAACATCTCCTCCATAAATGCTAACGGGGAGCACAAGCCAGAATCACCCTCAAACTGAAGTGAACCTGCCGGCCCCCCGGCAGCAGGGTTTGGACGTGCTCTGCGTGTCCAAATCCACGTGGGCCAGTGAGACTTGACTGAGGGCCAGTCATCTGACACCAGCACCCAAGGAGGGAGATCTCAAATCTCTGGGTCTGGGGACTTCCCTGGTGGTCCAGTGGTTAAGACTCCATGCTCCCAATGCAGGGAGCCTGGGTTCGATCCTTGGTTAGGGAACTAAGATCCCACATGCCACACGGTATGGGCTAAAAAACAAAACAAAAAGTCCCTGGGTCTGTTGAGTCACAATGAATCACCCTGAAATACTTTTCTGGACCAAAGCCTGATGTTGATAGGTGGATATAAATATAGAACATGAAATTTTTCTGATTAAAAAATTAATCTCTGTTTATTATAGAAACCTTTGAAAAGAACCAAATGGAAGGGGTCCCATGGAGGTGGGAAGTTCTCACCTTACTCCAAGCAGTTGCTGAGGGGTGAGGACCCAAGTCATCAGGAATACGGTGACTGACAAAGTGGGGACCGGTAGGAGAGATGGGCAGGAGCGGGAAGACGGTGCTGGGTGGGGTAGGCGGGGGCAGACAGACAGTCCAGGATGGGATGGGCTCAGCCTGGGGGGACTCGGGGCCTGGGTCTCTACTGAAGGGAAGGGAAGGGGGCAGTAGAGGGCTGTGTAGCCTCCCTCTGGGCCCACTCACCAAAACACTGCGAGTACAGCTCCCGGCGCACGGGGCAGATGCCCGTCTCCCGGGCCTGCCGCTGCTGCAGCTTCAGGTCCAGCTGCTCCTGGAGGTGCACCACGTCCATCCTGGTGCTGGGGGTGCTGGACACCTGCTGGATCCACAGCTGCGTGTCCTCCACCCACTCCCTGCGGGATAGACACAGCCAGGCTGAGCCAGCCCCATTCACCACACAAGGTCCTCAGGACCTGAGCAGAGGTGGCCCTTGGCACTCTGCCTGAGAGGAGGGAGGGGCAGCTCTATCCCTGACTCCCCGGAGTCCCCCAGCTCTCTCTTCCTTGAAGAGGGTGTGGCTCCAAAGCCACACCCACGGTGCCACCTCCATAGGGCCCCTACCTTGGGGCTGGGCAGTCTTCATTCTGCCAGAATCCTCTGTGAAGTCATCACCCACGTTCCAGATCTCCCACTCCTAACATGCTGAGCACAGATTTATGGTGGTTGTTGCTTGATCTGAATGGGAGGCCCAGCGGCAATACCCACTGACTTGGGGGGTAGGAGACACAGGAGACCATAAGCCTTGTGTCATCAAAAAGAGGTGAAGGTATGAATTGGGGGGAGGGGTGTACCTATATGGACGCCCATAGTGAACCTTGTATCAGAGACCCAGCCAGGTTCTGGAATCACAAGGGGCAGTCTGAGGGCAGAGTCACCTTGAGGGAGAGGATTCCATGCATTGTTGAGAGGGAAGCAAGTGAAAATCACCCTCAGAACTTCTATCACCTTATTACAGAAAAATAGTTGAAAAGGATGTCTGCGATCAATGTGGCTGCAGAAGAAAGAAGCAAGGTAAGAAGAAGGGAGCTCTCCTTTTATTTATTTTTTAAAATTTTTGTTTATTTTGTTTTATTTTTTATATTTATTATATATTTATTATCTATATTTATTTTTATTTATATTTTATGTTTTATTTTATGTTTATTTTGTTTATTTTTATTTATTTATTTATTTTATTTATATATTTTTTGGGGGGGAGCTCTCCTTTTATAAAGGAGTCTGCAGGTTTCCTTGAGGAGAGGACATTTGAGCAAGACTTGAGTGAAGGAACAAGGGAATTGGGGGGATATCAGGGGAAGAGGATTCCTGGTGGTGAGAAGGTCCTATGGTGGGAAAGTCACTGATGTGTTTCAGAAACAGCAAGCAGAGGCTCTTAGGGCATTAGCCCCATGAACTAGGAAGAAAATAACCAGAGAGACGATCTCGGATACGTCAGGGGCCAGGTTGTGCCAGGTCTTCTGGGTTGTTGTAAGGACTTTGGATTTCAGTCTGAGTGAGATGGGACAGTCTGACTTGTGATTTTGGGGTTGCGTGGGAAATAGATTGTAGGGTCAGAGAGTGGAAGCAGAATTTTCAGGTAGGAGGCCATCGCAGTAATGCAGGTGACAGCGACTAGGAATAAGACGGTGGCAGCAGAGTGAAAAGCAGTCAGATTTGGAAAGTAATTTGAAGGTAGAGGCAAAAGGAGAAAGGGGTGTCAGAAGATAAGATGGTTAGATAGCATCACTGACTCAGTGGACATGAATCTGAGCAAACTCCGGGAGATAGTGGAGGACGGAGGAGCCTGGTGTGCTACAGTCCATGAGGTTACAAAGAATCAGATATGACTTAGTGTCTGAAAACAAGAACAATGGAGACAAGAGAATGTGATGAAGGGCAGGACATGTGACTGGAGAGATCAAAGGGAATGAAAATTTGCCTGATCCCCTAGTGGAAAGGAGAAGACTGAGAATGAGCTGGTTAGGGGAAGAAAGACATTGTGATTTAATTTGAACATGTTGAGTTTGAGATGTTCCTTGGACATCTTCATGAAGGTAATGAGTAAGTAGCAGAATATATACGTTTGGAGTTTAGAGGGGAGGACAAGGCTGCAAAAAGACCCATGGGAACCATTAGTATACAGATGATATTTAAAGCCATGAGCCTGGGTGAGAGCACTCAGGAAATGATGGCAAATAGAGAAGAGGTCTCCCTGGACCCTCCCAGGATCTAGCCATCTGCAAGTTCTAGAAACTCTGGGATGCTGGGAAGAAATCTCAGTCAGAAACAGAGTCAGGGTGCCTCCTCTCACATTCCCAAGTTCCGGGAAGCAAAAGCCTGGGCCTCCTCCTAGCCACTACTTGTTTACCTTGGGGGCAGGATGGCATTCAAGATTTCTTCTGCTTGCTTTGTAGGATCTGGGACACAGGAAGTTGAGGGGAGCTTGGTCTTGGGTGGCTGTGGGACGGGACCCGAGGGTCCAGGTTGCTGAGGGCTGACTTTCAGTGGCCGAGCCTGAGAAGTAGGGACAAGTTGGGGCAGGAGGCGACTCAGACACTCAGCTCCACACTCCCTGGGCCCCTGGATTGCTCCAGGTTTCCTGCACATCCCTCCCCTAACCCCAGCTCACTTTTCCCCATCTGTCCTCTCAGCAGAAGTTATGTTTCAGAGCTGAAGGAGGCCATGCAGCATCTCTGGTTCCACCCCAACCCAATGCTTGCATCTCCTTGAACAGATGTTTCTGGCCCAGCTGCTCAGGCCTCTGCTCTAGTGATGGGGCATCACTATCAGATCTATTCTGGGACCCTGCGACCCTAAAGAGACTTGTCACATCGCCCTGTGACTTTCTTCCCCATACTAATTTGCCCTTTGGGAGCACCCAGCATTTGGTCTTCTTTGGCCTCTCTCCTCCGGTTCCAGTTCCCTTTACTCCCAGTGACTGCAGCCTCTGTCCCTCTGGACTCCCGACTTCAGCGCAGCCCCTGTCTTACCCCAGCGGAGTTTCGTGCTCCCCCACCCTCCGAGACTCGTTCTTACTTTGGGGCTCCGTTTCTCAGTATTCCGGCTCACCAACACCGGGGTGTCATACTTAAGCAGAGAGTCCGCTGGGGGAATCATGGTGGCGGCGCGAGTAGCAGCCCAGCAGCCGCCCTCCAGTCAGGGCCGTGTTTGCCGTCGCCATGGAAACCTCCGCTCCGCCCTCATGGCCTGGGCGGGGCTTCGGGGCGGGGCCAGCAGCGCGCGAGTTCAAGCTCTGCCTTCGCAGAAAGTTTTCCAATGCTTATCAGACCGCCTGCTCAACAGGGTGCCTCGGTACCCTTGGAAGCTGGGAGAAAAACATCAATTCTGAATCCCTGGGCTGCGTCTAGCTCTCAATTTGAAATAGATGCTCACCACCTTCGTTGACCCTCCATTTTGTCATCTGCAAAATGGGGAGTCGTCTGACTCCTTAGCGAAGGGTTGGGAAAGATTCCCAGTGGAAGGCATCTGAAGTTCCCACGTTATAAAAGGTATTTGTTTTTAATTAAATGGAGAAATGACAACATATCGGACAGTGCAGGAACAGAGAGGAAATGCTAATGATTTGCCCACGGGCTACCATCTGTGATTGCATTTTCTTCCTCTTTCCTTGGTGTTTCCAAACGTAAATGTAATCACAATCTGTGCACAGTTTTGTTTAACAAGTCAGGTTTTTTTCCATTTGTCATATAGTCTGTAAATAGCAAACTGCAATTCAAATGGGCTTCTCTGGTGGCGGTAAAGAATCTTCCTGCAGTGTCGGACACTTTCACTTTTCTTGTAAATAGCATTGCGAATGGCGACATAGTATCTTTCCTACCGCTAGGAGTGCAGGTTGTCTCTGTTTAGTAATTACTAGTTAAACATCCTTGAAAGTGAGTGAAGTTAAAGTCGCCGAGTCGTGTAGCCGGGCCAGGCTCCTCTGTCCATGGAATTCTCCAGGATACTGGCTGGAGTATCCAGAATAGTGGAGTGGGTAGCCGTTCCCTTCTCCAAAGGATCTTCCCAACCCAGGCATCGAACCCAGGTCTTCCTCATTGTAGGCGGATTCTTTACCGTCTGAGCCACCAGGGAAGCCGTCCTCGGGAGCAGTTTTCCCTAAGTTTGCTTTTGAAACTTGAATCTCCCGCCTCTCTAGACGAGTCACTAAGGCCCCGCCCACTCCGGAATCTTGTCACGTTATCTCCGCTGTAAAGGCTTCTGGGAGAGGGCTCAGCCGGAAGCGGAAGTCCTGGAGGCAAGTCCGTCATTTCCTTTGGGACAGGAGGGCAACGGACTTATTTTTCTTGGCTCCGCAGATCTCTCGGCATGAAGGAGGTGAAGAGCGAGCGGGAGCGGGGGAATCGGCGAAGGCACCGGGACGGGGACGTGGTGGGGATAGCGCCGGCGGTAGTGGTGAAGCAGGAGCGACTCAGCCCGGAGTCCGCGCCTCCGGTCCATCGCCGTCCGGATTCCTCCGGCGGTAGCCCGTCCCCACCGGCTGGCGAGTCGGGCCGCCCTAGTCACCGCGGGAACCGAGCCCGAGGAGGTAGCCGGTAAGTGGGAAGCATCTCGGGGTGAGTCTTAGATAGGGTTCGTTGAGAAGGGAGAACAGGGCTAGCGCCAGAAACACACCTTAACGCGGCAGCTTGGACTTAATCCTAAAGCGATGGAAGTGATCAGCTGTGCTTGTGTGGAAGACTGTTTACTCCGGTACCTAGCACTTGGGTTGCAGCTGGACTTTAAGCGCTCAATGCCTGCTGCGCAGTCTCTCGCCTCTTTATTTCTGTGTACCCAGCATTTCACCGAGTATGGTCCAGTTGATAGCAGTGATAATTTAAGTTGAGAGATTTCCCCCATCTGCCTGCAAATGGAGTGCAGGCGTTATCTTTTCAATTATCTGTCCCAAGAAGTTTACATATCGAGGGCTTAGGCAATCTACCTGATATTCTTGCGAGGGGGAGAATGTATCTTGATAGACACCTTCATTTATTCATTCATTCGACGTAGTTTTACTGAGTACCTATTATGTACTAGGTACATAAGACCGTTCTAGGTTATAAAATAATGTGGGAAAATATACAACATTAAAAAAAATACATACAAAGGTATATGTGGAATTTGACTTAAAATAGTGTAGAATTATATGCAGAAATATTATGGTGAAAATGGTGGGGGGTTGGGGAAGAAGAGAGTCCTAGGTTCTGGGGCTGCAAGGGTGAACTTAGATGGTCTGCCTCTAGATGGTGCTCCTAGATGGTGTTGTAGCCCTGAGACAAAATAACAAGCAAATTTGGAAAAGTAGTCTCAGTTAGTAACAAGTATTTGGGGGTAGGTTAATGTGACAGAGAGTGGAGGGAGATGGTTTTCCCTGAGTTGCTGTCTATTTGACCTAAGACCTGAATGATAGGAATAATCTGCCTTGTTGAAGATCTAGGCAGAGGGAACAACCCATACACAGAACCTGAAGTGGAATTAATTGTGTTCTTCTAGAAAAGGGGGTGAGAGGGGAAATCCAGTGTAGTAATCAAGGAGAGTGGTAAGAATGACATTGGCGAGTGAGGAGATAGAGCCAGAGACTTTGCTGATTTTTTATGATTGTGTGGGGAAGGAGCATGGAGGGCTGTTGATCGAGGGGAGAAAAATAATCAAGGGTGACTCCTAAGTTTTTTGCCTGAGGAACAGGGTGGATGGTGGCACTAATTACCCAGCTGGCAGAAAACAGAGGAAAGTGGCTTGGGTGGTTGGGAATCCACAGTTGTTATCTAAGTGAGAAGTTCTAGTAGGGAGTTATGTATGTGGAAGACATAGGACCAGAAAAGTGAAGCTCCTGATCCTTTTAGTGTGATCAGCAAAGACTTACACAGACATGGTGTTTGTGGGTATGCCTGACACTTGGAGCTGTTTTGTATGAGGGAATGAAAGTTGAGATAAACGTGTGTACCATTTTCTGAACAGGTCCCCAGCCAAAAAGAAAAACAAATCCTCAGGAAGAAGGAGCAAGTCTCCCCGGAGTAAGAGAAGCCGAAGTCCTCACCACTCAGCAATCAAAGTAAAGCAGGTAAGTGGATTGGGATGTTTTCATATTGGCTCCAAACCTAGAGCCTCTCCATCGTAGCTGAAGTGTTATGTATGTGTTTTCCTGTGCCTGCAACGGGCTTCTCCAAAAACTGGGCTTTTTTTTTTTCCTTTTTTGTTCTTTCTTTGTTAACTTAAACTTTTTATTTTGAGATAATTGTTGATTCACATGCAGTTGTAAAAGGTAATACAAAAGTGACTGTTTGTCCCAATGGTAACATCTTACAGAATTATAGAACAATATCACAACCAAAATGTTGACATCAATTCTGTCAGGATACAAAACATTTCCATCACCACAAGGATTCCTCAAGTCATTCTTTTATATCACACCCAGTTCCCTCCCACCCTTACCCCTCCACCTCCTGGCAGCTTCTAATCACTTCTCCATTTCTGTAATTTTGTTTCTTCAAGAATGCTATGACAATAGAATTGCACAGTATGTAGCCTTTCTGGATTGGCTTTTTCCACTCAGCTGAATTCTTTTGGAGTTCATTTATATTGTTGCTTCTGTCTGTAGTTCCTTCCTTTTTATTGCTGAATGGTATTCAGTCCTATGGATTTAACCATTTGCCCATTAAAGTATATCTGGGTTGTTAGCAGTTTTTGGCTATTAGACATAAGACTGCTGTGTACACATTTCTTTACAGGTTTTTGTGTGAACATACGTTTTCGTTTCTCTGGGATAGATGCCCAGGAGTGCACTTTCTAGATGGTATGGTAGTTGTGTTTTGTTTTTTTCCCTGAGAAATTGTTTTCCAGAGTGCTATGTTAGTTTGCCAGGTCCTCCATAACAAAATACCATAGACTGGTTGCCTTAGGTAGTAGAAGCTATGATTTTCACACAGTTCTAGAGGCTAGAAGCCAGAGATCAGAGTTTCAGCAGTTTGGTTTCTCCTGAGGCCTTCTCCTTGGCTTGCCTTCTCTGTTGGGTCCTCACAGTCTTTCCCTCTGGCTCCCATCTCTGACTCACATCTTCCGTACCCACATCAGCTATATTGGATTGGGGGCTTACTCATTTTAACTCAATCCGTTCTTCAAAGACCTTACCTGCAAAAAATCTGGTTACAGTCTGAGATGTGGGGGTTGAGACTTCAGTATATAAATTGGAAGGGGGCACAATTCAGTCCTTACAGTGGCTGTCCCTTTTTATAATGTGAGTGATCTAGCATTTGGTATTGTGACCATTTTGACTATCTGACAAGTATGATAGTGATACTACGACTTTCATTTGCATGTCCCTGGTGGCCAACGATGTTGAGCATCTTTTCATGTGTTTATTTGCCATCTGTATTTCCTCTTAGGTAAAATGTCTCTTCATATCTTTTGCCTATTTTCTAGTTGGATTGTTTTGGTTTTGTTTTACTATCGAGTTTTAAGAATTCTTTTTTTTGTGTGTGATATATTCTTAGATACCAGGCCTTTTGGAGTGAGAGGTTTTAATATTTTCTTTCCATCTGTATCTTGTCTGTTTATTCTTTTAAAAGAGTTTTCCTCAGAGCAAAAGTTTTTGATTTGTTTGGAGTCCAGCTTGTCTGTTTTTCCTATTACAGATTATGCTTTTGGTGTTATGTCTAAGAACGTCTCTGGCCCTAGAACGTGAAGATATGTTTTTTTTTTAATGTTCGTTTAAGTCCATGATCTGTTTTGAGTTTGTTTTAATATAAGGCAGGAGCCTTAAATCGAATTTCCTTTTTCACCCATTGATATCCATTTACTCCAGCACTAGGTGTTGAAAGGACTATTTTTCCTCCCTTTAATTGCTTTTGCTTCCTTTGTAAAAAATCAAAAGTAGTGTGTGCCTTTATTTCTGGGTCCTCTGTTCTGTGTCATTGATCTGTCATTCTGCCAGTACCACAGTCTTGATTACTGTAGCTATATAATAAGTCTTAAAATTGGACAGACTGATTCTTTCACTTTCTTCTTTTTAAAACTTGTTAGGACTTCCCTGGCAGGTCAGTGGTTAAGACTCTGAGGCACAGGTTCAATCCCTACTGGGAGGAACTAAGATGGCACATGCCACAGGACATGGCCAAATAAATAAATAATTGTTTTAGGAATTCTCATTCCTTTGTCTTTCCATATACATTTTAGAACAATCTTGTTTATATCTATAAAAAAAACTTGCTAGGATTTTGATTGAAATTGTGTTAAACTTGTACTTTTTGAGAATTTTTAAAAAATTATATAGTCTTCCCATCTTTGAATATAGATGTGTCTCTCTCTATTTAGATCTTTGATTTCTTAAATCAGTGTTTCAGTGTACAAGTCCTGTATACATTTTGTTAGCTTTACACTTAAGTAATTTTTTTTAAGTTATCATTAAGTGATATTTTGAATTTCAGCATTTACTTGTTCATTGCTAGTACATAGAAATATGATCGATTTTTGTATGTTTATCTTATATCCTGTGACCTTACTGAACTCATTTATTTTACCTAAATAAATCCCAGCCTAAAGCTTAGGATTTCCTACATAGATAATCATACCTGCAGAGAGACAGTTTTGTTTGCCTTCCTTTACAGTGTAAATTCATTTTATCTCCTCTTGCTGCGTGGCTGGGACTCGAGCACTGAGTGGAGTAAGAGTAGTAAGAGCAGACACTTTGGCCATGTCCTCAGTCCTGATGGCCGGGCATTCAGTCATCGTCTTGTTCCTTTTCCTTGATGTTTTATTTAATTTTTGACAGTTCTTGGTCTTCGTTGCTGCGTGTGCAACTCTCTAGTTGCAGTGAGCAGAGGCTATACTCTTGTTGTGTGCAGGCTTAGTTGACTTGTGGCATGTGGAATCTTCCCGGACCAGGGATCAAACCTGTGTTCCCTGCATTGGCAGGTGGATTCTTAACCACTGGACCACCAGGGAAGTCCTCAGTCTTCTTTTTAAAGAACCTCTGGGTTACAAAGTGCAAATAGAAACACTGGCATTAAGAAATGGATTTTCCTATGAATTTGAGCCAACTTCCTGCTACCTAAAAAGATTCAAAGCCAGTCTTGATGATCTGTTGTATGAGTTGGTCAGCCATCACCTTCATTATCTCAGAATTCAGCCACTGGAACCACAATACCCAGATTAAACCTCTCAAACCACTTGTAGCTCTGTGTGTGTGTGTGTGTGTGTGTGTGTGTGTGTGTGTGTGTGTGTACAGCTTGCCACTGTTGTGATTTAATAATTTTGGCATGTTAACATTTTGTAGATTTAAAAGGTACAGTATATAGCCTGTTATATATACATTGATATATTGTAATATGACTGCCATGGAAGCAGTATTTACCAAGTTAGATCATTATAGAGTAGTGTTACTGTCTATATTCATTTTTCTGGGCATTAGATCTCTGTCTAAGGCTTATTTGCTATTCGTTACTGTTAGTGCCCTTAAATACCATCAGTCTATCCTCCCGCCTCCCATCTCCGGTGACCACCGTTTTCCTCCCTGACTGTTTATATATATGGGAGATAGATATAAAGGAGCACCCCTGGAGGCTCAGACAGCAGACATCTGCCTGCAGTGTAGGAGACCTAGATTTTATCCCTGGTTCAGGAAGATCCCCTGGAGAAAGGTGTGTGTGTGAGACTTTTTTCAGCTTGCAGTTTTTTACCTCTGGTTTTTAAATCAGCAACTTATAGTAAATCCTGGGGCCTATCATATAGAACTGTTTTGTGATTATTGTTACTTTGGAATGGCTTAGTTTGCCTATCTATGCCAACTTCCCTCCTGACCTCAAATAATCTCTTAAAAAGCTGATTTCGTTGTATCAGCTAGAAACTTGTAAATGGCTCTCAAGCAGAGGGGATTGAGGACTTGACAGGCAGTTGAAAATCAGTGACTTTTACCTGAATTGTAAGAGCACACAGCCTCTGACTTGTACTTAGAGATATTCTTTTCTGCACTATTCACCCACCATTAAAAAAAAAAAGTTCAACACAGAGTTATATTCAATATAATTTAATAACCTAATATGGAAAATAATTTGAAAAAGAATGTGTATATGTGTGTAACTGAATCACTTTGCATATGCCTGAAATGAATACAACATTGTAAATCAACTATACTTCGATTTTTTTTTTTAAAGGAGGTAGGGGACAGGATTGTGGAAACCCAAGGAAAAACTTTATCAATTGCTTATTCATCATCATAACACAGAAGTCTCTAAAATAAAAAGTGAGAGTATGGTTTACATAGTATATGGTTACTTCTCTCATTAGCCCCAGAATCACACCCCTCCCCATGAACCAAAAAACACCACCTCAGTCCCCAAGGGTCACCTTTTTAATAGTTTGGTATTTATACTTTAGCGTTCTATAATGCTTATGTTCTCTTCTTTTCTTTTATATTTTGGTGTGTGTGTGTATTCTGTGCAAAGATGTTAATTAACAAAAAGAATCATATTGTATCTGTTATACTACTTGACTTATCAATAGTTGAGAGTGTATGTTGAAATCTTAGTTATTTTGTGTTGTCTGGTTATGTAATTTGTCATATTCTCTCCAAAGCTTCTACTGATTTTTTCCTAGTATACATACATGTACTGGGAACGAAGACAGAATTGCCTATTGGATATAGCAATATGTAGGTCATTGGTGACCTTGACCAGCAATTTTAGTGGAGTAGTAAGGGTGAAGCCTAATTGGAGAATTCAAAAAAAGATGGAAAAAGAATTGGAGACTGATTAAAACCAAACTTTTTTAAGGAATTTTACTCAGACAGTGAAGAGATAGAGTGGAAGCCAGCATGGGAAACGGGCTTTGGGAAGAGCAGATGCCGGTGCTGACAGGGCTGGTCCAGTGCAGACCAGGAAAGGGGACTGTGCAAGGGGGGCAGGGGTCACTGCAGCAATGCTCTGGGTGCAAGGGGAGCTCCCCAGTGTGGGGACTGGCTTCAGATAGAAGCACAGAGAATGCGCAAACTACCGCACAACTGCACTCATCTCACACGCTAGTAAAGTAATGCTTAGAATTCTCCAAGCCAGGCTTCAGCAATACGTGAACCATGAACCTTCAGATGTTCAAGCTGGATTTAGAAAAGGCAGAGGAACCAGAGATCAAATTGCCAACATCTGCTGGATCATCAAAAAAGCAAGAGAGTTCCAGAAAAACATTTATTTCTGCTTTATTGACTATGTCAAAGCCTTTGATTGTGGATCACAATAAACTGTGGAAAATTCTGAAAGAGATGGGCATACCAGACCACCTGACCTGCCTCTTGAGAAATCTGTATGCAGGTCAGGAAGCAACAGTTAGAACTGGACACGGACCAACAGTCTGGTTCCAAATAGGACAAGGAGTACGTCAAGGCTGTATATTGTCACCCTGCTTATTTAACTTATATGTAGAGTACATCTTGAGAAATGCTGGGCTGGAGGAAGCACAAGCTGGAATCAAGATTGCCGGGAGAAATATCAGCCTCAGATATGCAGATGACACCACCCTTATGGCAGAAAGTGAGGAAGAACTAAAGAACCTCTTGATGAAAGTGAAAGAGCAGAGTGAAAAAGTTGGCTTAAAGCTCAGCATTCAGAAAACTAAGATCATGGCATCCGGTCCCATCACTTCATGGCAGATAGATGGGGAAACAGTGGCTGACTTTATTTTTCTGGGTTCCAAAATCACTGCAGATGGTAATTGCAGCAATGAAATTAAAAGACGCTCCTTGGAAGGATAGTTATGACCAACCTAGGCAGCATATTAAAAAGCAGAGACATTACTTTGCCAACAAAGGCCCATCTAGTCAAGGCTATGGTTTTTCTAGTGGTCGTGTATGGATGTGAGTGTTGGACTATAAAGAAGGCTGAGCGCCGAAGAGTTGATGCTTTTGAACTGTGGTGTTGGAGAAGACTCTTGAGAGTTCCTTGAACTGCAAGGAGATCCAACCAGTCCATCCTAAAGGAGATCAGTCCTGGGTGTTCATTGGAAGGACTGATGTTGAAGCTGAAACTCCAATACTTTGGCCACCTCATGCGAAGAGCTGATTCATTGGAAAAGACCCTGATGCTGGGAAAGATTGAGGGCAGGAGGAGAAGGGGACGACAGAGGATGAGATGGTTGGATGGCATCATCGACTCAATGGACATGGGTTTGGGTAGACTCTGGAAGTTGGTGATGGACAGGGAGGCCTGGCGTGCTGCGGTTCATGAGGCAGTTGCAAAGAGTTGGACACAACTGAGTGACTGAACTGAACCGAGAAGCACACATAGTTTCCTTATGGGCATAGGAAGGGAAACAGTATCTGGGTGTAGATAGTGGTAAGGGGGCAGACATAGAAAACCCCTTCTGAGTAGATAAGAGATGTAGAGGACCATGTAGGATGAGAGAGAAGGGGTGAAACAGTCATCTGGGAGGAGGACCAGATCAAGAAAATGTAGGATGGTTGCTGGGCATCATTAAGGAGGCTTAGGTCATGCTTCTGAGGTGGGACCAAGGTGGGACCCGTCAGAATGGCTTGTGCTTCTCTCTTGCCACTTTGATGTGCTAGACGCTGGTTGTGGTTTTGCCAGAACAGTGCGACAAGAACGGCATTGGACGTGATTGAGGGAGTGATCATACCGCTTGACCCTGGAATTTCAGCTAGAAGGGAAGGGAAGAGAGCACATCAAGAGAGTGAGGGACTGTGCAGAAGTAAGAGGATTAAAGGCTTGGATGAGTCTTACTGGCATGATTGTTAGAGTTGGGTAAAACGTGAGCTGGAAAGATGGGCAGAAAGAGGACTGCTTGAAATTGAAATTATAGAGGGGCTGCAGTTATTAGAAGTGAAAAGGTCTGTTGTAACTGTGCGGTGAGTGCCTGAGGAGAAAGGAGGTGGCAGATAAGATAACGGGGAGAGAGCAACGTGAAGAATGGAGAGGCGAGCGTGGCACTGAAATCAGCAGGGGCAGTGCTTTAGAGAGCGACAAGCTAGAAGTGAGACCGTGACGTGAAGGGGCGTGATTTAGGGTTGGCAAATCACAGCAACAGTGAGAGTGATGGCTGACAGTGGTCTTACATGAGATTCACTGCTGCATCTTTTCAGGGAGAAAGAAGAGGTGTGGGGAGTGTTCTAGAATTGGCAGTGAGAGGAAAGGGCATTGCTGCCGTATGTCCAGGCTTGAAGATGCTGGGAGCTGAGGGGAGGTTGGAAGGAGAAAACCAGCTCCTTTGAGAGAGCTGGGGGGGAGCAGAGACAGGAACTATCTGAGAAGACGTGGAGGATGTAGGCTGGTTTTGCCAAGCTTCCCATTTCCAGAGGAAATAGAAAGTACAGTGGCTTTAGGAGTTGAAAAAGGGTGGAATTTGGGGACAGAATCCTTCATATACAGAGCCTTATGGGAATTAGAGTACAAGGAGGGTGGAGGTGATGGCCTGGAGTCTGTGATTTCTTACACTGACTCATTTAATCAGGGATAAAGGGCATAATGAGATTAATTCTGGTGAACTCAAGGCAGATGGTGGTGGCAAGCTTGTGACTGTCTTGGGGTAGGAGGGATGGGTGTCTGAGGCTCCCTTCCTCTTGGTACTTGTCTTTGGAGGTTAGGAAGTGTAGGAAAACTGGGTCCAGCTCTGAGCAAGCAGACCCCTACTTGACCTCTGTGGTTGGTAAGGAGAAGGCCTTGAGGCAGGGGCTAGGGATGAGGGTCGGCAAGGAAGTGGGGGCAAGGTCCCAGTCCTGATGCTCAGGATTTCTTCTCCACCCCTTCCCAGGAGGGGAGCCTCACTTCATAGTGGCAGGGCTCACTCTTGAACTCTGATACTTTAGCTATAAGATTAGTAAGGATAAACCTATCTTCACGTGTTCATTAAATATTTATTAATACTTCTTCTGAAGATTGCTTGTTACTATCCTTTGCCCATTATCTACTAGGCTGATTTTCAGTACTGTTTTTATTTTTAAAGAAGCCTTGGTATGTTTCTTCATTTCTTCAAATCTTTAAAAAATATATCTGTTACAGTTGACCCTTGGACAACATGGGTTTGAGTTGCACTGGTCCACTTATATGCAGATTGTTTTCAGTAGTAGATATGCAGATTGTTTTCAGTAGTAGAGGCTGCAGTACTCCGTGTCCCTAGTTGGTTGAATTTGCGGGTGCAGACCCTCAAATACAGAGGGACCACGTATACAGATCGCCGACTACAGCTGCCTGGAGGGTCAGTTCCCCTGTTCCCCAGCTGCAGTGAATTTTTACAGGTTTCCTCTTATATAATTCTTAATTTTATTCCTAGGTATTGAGTAATCTTTGTTACTGTTGAAATAAGATCTTTCAAAATTATTATTAATACATTTTTATTTCTGGCATAAGAGAAAGGTAGCTTTTTTCTTTATGTAATTATCTTGTATGTGACTACTTAATTCTCTTTGAGAGTTGTGTTTTCCCTAAATTTGCCTGTAGCTATTCTTGTTTCTCAGGCTCTGAACATGGGTGTGCACTGTTAGAGCTATATTTGGGCAGCAGCCTGGGGTACCTTGGAGAAGGAGATGGCAACCCACTCCAGTATTCTTGCCTGGGAAATCTCATGGACAGAGGAGCCTGGCAGGCTACAGTCTGTGGGATCTCAAAGAGTCGGACACAACTGAGTGGCTAGCACTTTGGGTGTTGGCCTTGCAAGGGAACATCGTCACCACCGGTAACCTTATTTCTGTGGGACATTTTGCTCTGAACACCAAATCACAAATGACTTCTTGAATGCAGCTCTGTTTAGAGACCGTGAACTGCCTTTACTTTCCTGAATCTGTTTGAATTTCAGGAACGTGAGGACCATCCTCGGAGAGGCCGGGAGGATCGGCCACACCGAGAACCCTCAGGACAGGAACACAAGCGAGCTCGGAACAGTGACCGAGACAGGCACCGCAGCCATTCCCACCAGAGGAGGAGCTCGGGCGAGAGGCCTGGCAGCGGGCAGCCTCAGGGACGTGATCGAGATGCTCAGAACCTGCAGGCTCAGGAAGCCGAGCGGGAGTTTCACAACACCCGGCGCCGCGAGCACCGCCAGAAGAATGAAGTTAGTGCTGGCAGTAACGCGTCTCAGGACGCGCTGCCTCGGCCTGGACCTGGAGGCAACAGCAAGGACAAAGAAGTGCCTGTTAAAGAGAAGCCAAGCTTCGAACTTTCTGGGGCACTTCTTGAGGACACTAACACCTTTCGGGGTGTAGTTATTAAATACAGCGAGCCCCCGGAAGCACGTATCCCCAAAAAACGGTGGCGTCTCTACCCCTTTAAAAATGATGAAGTACTTCCAGTGATGTACATCCACCGACAGAGCGCTTACCTCCTGGGCCGGCACCGCCGCATCGCAGACATTCCCATCGATCACCCCTCCTGCTCAAAGCAGCATGCCGTCTTTCAGTACCGGTAAGTGTCCATCTGCGGAGGAAACCAAGGTGCCAGCAGAAGCCCGCCGTCTTGGCTAGTTAGGATTACTGAGATCTGTGCACGTGTGTGTGCACAAGAAGCCCATATCCCTCATACCTAATAGTATTTTTTTAATTTTTATTTTTTTGGCTGAACCTGCATGGTTTATGGGATTTTAGTTCCCCATCTGGGGATCGAAACCAGGCCCTTGTCAGTGAGATCGTGGAGTTCTAACCCTTGGACCGGCAGGGAATTCCTTCTAATATTAGTCTTAAGGAGTATTATTCCTCTAATGTACAATCACTTTATATAAATAATTGCCAACACTTGTGTAAGAGGATTGAAGTTGGTGTCCGAAATCCCGATTTTGAATCCTGCCAGTGCCACTTACCTGGGGCCACTTACCACGGTGCCACTTACCGCTCTTCTCGGCCTCAGTTTCTACATCCCTTGCAGGGCTGTTATGATAGGTAAATGGAAATAAAGCTGAAAATGGAAATAAAGCTGAGAATGCTTGGCATATGTTAGCCGAATCTCTCTCTTGGCAGTGTCTGTAGTACATCTGTTATTGTTGGATGCTCACAACAATCCTGTGGGGAGGCGAGGACTAGTATTAATACCCCATTTAACAGATGAGACAACGAAGCTCAGCAAAGCCAGGTGGCCTGCCTAATAAATAATCACTGAGGTAGCATGCTGGCTCGAATTGGTTTCGATCTAAACAATTTTGATCGTCTTATCTGTCCCCTTGACTCCGAAGTCCAAATACACTGGTTTATTCCTATTGGGACAGAAGCTAAAATATGTTGAAATACAGGTAAAAGAAGCATTATGTTGATTATTAACAATACAAAAAATGTCAAAGTTTTAAAAATACAACAAAAAAAAAAGTATTTCTTAACCATGGCAAGAGGCTTTGGATTCTGCATTTTAAGCTTTGGTCTACCATGAATCCCTTCCTCCCAGTGACCAGTTCTCACCGATTTAACTTGCTCCCAATTTCAAAATCCATGACTGTGTCTTCCCATTGATTTCTACAGTTTGAACTTGAACTGAGTCTAAGCCAGGTATTTACATTGTCCAGACTGTTAGCAAAGAGCTGGAGGATCTGAGGCTGGATTTCCCTCACAGATTTCTCTACTTTACCTCCACTAGGCTTGTGGAGTATACCCGTGCTGATGGGACAGTTGGCCGCAGGGTGAAGCCCTACATCATTGACCTTGGCTCAGGCAACGGAACATTCCTGAACAACAAGCGAATTGAGCCACAGAGATACTATGAACTGAAGGAAAAGGATGTCCTTAAGTTTGGGTTCAGCAGTAGAGAGTATGTTCTGCTCCACGAGTCCTCTGACACCTCTGAAGTAGACAGGAAAGAAGACGAGGATGACGAGGAAGAGGAGGAGGTGTCTGACAGCTAGCAAACTGAAAACAACCCAGACTCTCGAGAGACCTTTTCTTTGTGTGAAGGCTTTGGGACTGACTCACGGGGCACCGCTGTGCTCTCTAATGCCTCCTACTGCCTTAAGTCTTTCTTCTGTTGCTGACCAGCTTATGTTTTAGTGTATGTAAAAAAAAAATGACTTAGGTTTGGTTGAACTTCTTTCTGTGACACATTGGCCACATGCCTGTGGGCATTTGTTTTCCGAACAGTGTCACCGACACATCGTGTTTTAGTAGAAGCATCATGGCTTGAGTTGGTGCTTTCAGAACTGCTGCCGAGGAAACTATAAACCCTTGGTTGGGGGGAATTGTGGCTTCTTTGTACAGTTACTTTATTTATATAGTTGTTAAGCTTTGTGGACCGGGTTTGTTTTTATCTTGGGGGCAAACCCCTGAACAGAGAATCTTACTAAGCTTTGGTTATCACCAAAATAGCCTCCAGAATATACCAAAGCTTTGACCTGGTTGAGCTCTTGAGTCATAGAAATTGATTTTGCACTTGGTTGGTTTGGGTGGGTGGGTGGGATTTACCACATGACCTCATTATTGACTGTTGGACTCAAACAGATACTTTATGGAGCCTGCTTCAGCTCACAACTGTACAGGAGGACCGTGGCCACTGCCAGCGGGTGCTGACTGCATGTCACAGGAGGCCGAAATGGGTCGTGGATCTGTTTCCTGGGAGACAACTCTGACTTCTCCATGGAACATGTACAGAACAATTTTGATCATAGTAGCTGTTCTTCAACTTCACGTCTTTATTTAGAGGTTATCTCCATTCTTTCTTCTTTGAGAGAAGGAGTCATTTATGTAGCAGGGTCTTTGCTTTATCCTAACAACATAATGTCAAAAGACGGTTGTGTGGTTTACATGTTTCATCTTTTTAAAACAACATTCAGAGAGGTTGTATTTACCTTCCAAGGCTGGAAAGTATGGGAATTGCCCAGTTTTCTCATTTTCCATCAGAGGACTATGTGTAAGTAGAAAAGTCACAACTGCTTACATCTGTTGTGTGTATGTATATATGTACATATTTTAAAAATTGTGTGAAAGAGCCGCATACTGATTTTCCTATGAGAATGTTTTGTGACGTAAATGTAATACAATATTATAGGCAAAGGCCTCCCTGCATTTGAGGAGCAGGTTTTCATTTATATGTATTTTTGGAATAAAAAATAATAAAATTTGTAAATATAGCCCCCTTTCAAAATGTACTTCTTTGCTCGCACAGAAGACCTGGTGTTAACAGGTGTATTCTGGTGCTAAGGACATCTCTGAGTCAGTATTGTGGAGTAGAAGTTGAGAGTTGTGGAGGGTGTCATGAGAGTGATAGGGCCCACACCTGCCATGGAATCCAGATCTTCACATCTCAGCGACTTGAGTGGTGGTCCTGATGAAGCAGTAGTGCTTTCTGAGTTGGCAGTGGAGGGCTTTTCCTTCCCAGAAGAGTCAGAGTTGGGGCAGGTTATCCGTCGTGGGCCTTCTACCGGCTGACACCTATCCCTGCTTCCTCACCCTCAGGTGGTGATGGGGGTGTGAGATGGGAAGGAGAGATGATGCAAGTCAGTCAGTGCTGCTGCTAGCTGGTCCTCTTGGGTGGAAGCTAGTGATCTTACTGGGCTTCTCTGGTGGCTCAGTGGTAAAAGACTCCACCAGCCAATGCAGGAAACTCGGATTCCATCCCTGGGTTGGGAAGATCACCTGTAGAAGGAAGTGGCAACCCACTCAAGTATTCTTGCCTAGAAAATCCCATGGACAGAGGAGCCTGGCAGACTATAGAGTCCATGGGGTTGCAAAAGAGTCAGGACACAAGTGACTTAGTGACTAGACAACATTAACGTTAGCTGATCTTGCTTACCATTGTATTTCCATTGAGGTCTCATACCTGTATGTACTCAACATTAAATGTTGACTAGTACCTAGTGTGGGGAGGAGCAGCTGACTAATTTTATTTAAAAGAAATGAAAAGATCCCCTTTGGGGACTTCCCTGGCAGTCCAATGGTTAGAACTCTCCTGTCCACTACAGGGAGTACATGTTCTATCCCTGGTGGGGGAACTAAGATCCCACATTGTTGTTCAGTCACCAAGTCGTGTCCAATTATTTGTAACCCCATGGACTGCAGCACTGCAGGCCTCCCTGTCCCTCAACATCTGGAGTTGGCCCCAGTTCATGCCCATTGAATCAGTGATGCCGTCCAGTCATTTCATCTTCTGTCTCCCTCTTCTTCTGCCTTCAGTCTTTCTCAGCATCAGGGTCTTTTCCAGTGAGTCGGCTCTTCACATCAGGTGGACAAAGTATTGGAGCTTCAGCCTCAGCATCAGTCCCTCCAATGAATATTCAGGATTGACTTTCTTTCGGATTGACTGGCTTGATCTCCTTGTAGCCCAAGGGACTCTCAAGAGTCTTCCCCAGCACCATAGTTCAAAAGCATCAATTCTTTGGCACTCTGCCTTCTTTATGGTCCAACTTTCACATCCGTACATGACTACAGGAAAGACCATAGCCTTGACTATATGGACCTTTGTCAGCAAAGTGATGTCTTTGCTTTTTAAATATGCTATCTAGGTTTGTCGTAACTTTTCTTCCAAGAAGCAATCATCATCTAATTTCATGGCTGCAGTCACCATCAGCAGTGATTTTATCTGTCAGTGCTTCCATCTTTTCCCCTTTTAATTGCCATGAAGTGATGGGATTGAATGCTGTGATCTTAGTTTTCTTTTTTCCTTAGTTTTTTTAATACTGAGTTTTAAGCCCACTTTTTCACTCTTCTCTTTCACCCTCATAAAGAGGCTCTTTAGTTCCTCTTTGCTTTCTGCCATTAAAGTGTATCTGCATATCTGAGGTTGTTTATTTCTCCCAGAATCCTTGATTCTAGCTTGTAACTCATCCAGCCTGGCATCTTGCATGACGCACTCTGCATATAAGTTAAATAAACAGGGTGACAGATAAACCTTGTCCTTCTTTCTCAATTGTTGAACCAGTCGATTGTTCCATATAAGGTTCTAACTGTTGCTTCTTGACCTGCATACAGGCTTCTCAGGAGACAGGTAAGATGATCTGTCTAAGATATCTTTCTAAGATAATATCTCTTTAAGATATTTTTCCACAGTTTGTTATGATCCACACAAAGACTTTAGCGTAGTCAGTGAAACAAATGTTTTTTCTGGAATTCCCTTGCTTTCTGTATGATCCAGTGAATGCTGGCAATTTGATCTCTGGTTTCTCTGCCATTTCTAAACCCAGCTTGGATGTCTAGAAGTTCTCCGTTCACATACTGCTAAAACCTAGCTTGAAGGATTTTGAGCATAACCTTACTAGAATGGGAAGTGAGTGCAACTGTCTAGTAGTTTGAACATTCTTTAGTACCACCCTTCTTGGGAATTGGGATGAAGATTGACCTTTTCCTGTGGCCACTGCAATCTCCAAATTTCCAGTCCAAATTTGCTGACATATTGAGTGCTGCACTTTAACAGAATCATGTAGGATTTTAAATTGCTCTGCTGGAATTTCATTGCCTCCACTAGCTCTACTGGCAGCAGTACTTCCTAAGGTCCACTTGACTTCACATCCTGGATGTCTGGCTCTAGGTGAGTGACCACACCACTGTGGTTATCAGGGTCATTAAGATCTTTTTTGTACAAGCCCTCTGTGTATTCTTGCTCTTCTTGATCTCTTCTGCTTCTATTAGGTCTTCACCGTTTCTGTCCTTTATTGTGCCCATCTTTGCATGAAATCTAGAGATCTCCAAGAAAATTGGAGATCTCAAAGCAGCATTTCATGCAAAGATGGGCACAATAAAGATCTCACATGCCTTGGGGCAAAAACTAAAAAAAAAAAAAAAAAAAAGATCCCCTTTGAAGAGTGAATACTTAAGGGTTAATTAGGTAGAAGCTTACCTGAGGGAAGAAACAATGTAAGAGCAATTAGCATCCTCACCCAAAGTGCTCTAATTTGGCCCGTGGATGTGCATATTACATACGTGCAGGTCTGAAAGGTTATGTTTGGATGAGTTTTTCTCTTGATCCTGATGAATGGTTTTCTCCTCCTGGAATGAGGTACTTACCTGGCATCTCATTCCATGGCCTCCTTGTTCAGTCTGTGCAACTACTTCTGCTTCCTGGCAACTTTTGACTTGACTTCATGCACCATCCTGGTGGACACTGATAGATGACCACTTTGCTTATATTTTTCAATTAGAGGTGCCAGTTGTATAGTTAACTTTTGCTTCCTGGATTAAGAGATGTTTCATACCAAATATATGGGACGTTCTTTCCCGCCCATACTCACATTTTTTTTTTAAGAGAGTGAAAGAAAAAAACTACTCATCTCTGAGGCCAGGCCAGGTATCACCAACTAGACTTCTCATCTGAAGTTGATGAGTTAATCCTAAAGGTTTCTTTAAAAAAAGAAAAAAACCCACAACTTAGTTTTGGCTGGGTCTTAGTTTTGGCACATGGGATTTTCATTGCAGTGCCAGGTTTCTAGTGTGAGCTCAGTAACTGAGGTGCAGCATTGTGGGATCTTAGTTCCCTGACCAGGGATGGAACCCGTCACCCCTGCATTGGAGGATGGATCACCAGGGGAGGTCCTAATTCTAAAGCTTTCTTCTTGAATTAATTCATTGCTTAGAAACTCATGTTCATTTTAGCTGTTGGCAATTGCTTTACTCCCCACCCTTTCTCCACCCTGGCGTCCTTGTCTGCAAGTCATAGCTGTCAAAATCAAGCCATCTGCAGAACAACTCTGTGCTTCTGAGCCCCTCCCTCAAATCCTCTGTGGTCTTTGGTTCTGCCGAGCTATGGGACAGAATCTTCAGATTTCCCCCATAAGCCTCGTTCCAATCATCTTCTAGTTTCCTCTTTCTGACGCTGATAACGGATAGCTCATCAAGTGTAACCAGTGATGTAACTTTTTTCCCCCACCATGCAGCACAGCATGGGAGATTTTAGTTCCTTGACCAGAGATAAAACCTGTGC